GGTATTTCGACTTTGCTTGGTTGACCATATTATAAACAGTTTAAGAATTTAATAGAGCAAAGACAAGCAATTATAGCAACAATTACACGTACTGAAGTATCATGTTTCTCAGATTTAGCCATTGTAAACCTCGTTATGCTTAATGAACCAGACAACTAATACGACAAATGATATTTCCTTAAATAAGATGTTGACAAATAACTTGTGTAAAATCATATTACAATCTAATCTAAATAGCATTTCTAAAGGAAATTTTTATACTTCGAATGAATCTGACTTTATAACTGAATTCATGTCTTCTTCTATCGCGGATTTATTTTTACGGCAGTCACAGTGGTAACTTCTCGGGTCATTGGTCTTCTTTTGATGGCGTTCCTTTGGAGGGTTGGCGGGATTGCCTTTCGATTAAGGAACGAGCTTTATGTAAACAGAGTGACACTTACAGCTTGTCGTAATGGTGATGGTGTGAGGTAATGCTTTCGCTATTATTGCGGGTGGCAGAGGATAGCAAAAAAAAATATTTATGTAAAGTATTTATTTTCGTAAAGATTTATATAAATATTTAGAGAATGACTGATTCTCCCCCAATATATAGACACATTCTAATAAATTAAACAATACGGATTTTAGACATTGATATCATGTGATAAAAATGGCTTATGTTGAATCAGCCAAGGAAACATTTAGAATCCCTTAATACAGGGCATGCGCTTTTCTACGGCGTTCATCAGAACAGTACCTCATTGAATGAATGAGAAAATACATAATCGTCTATCTGTGCTCAAATTGAACACTTATGTTTCTTCTTAAATAGATATATTTGTAAAATGATTTTTCAGGAGAAAACTAAGATACATATTTATTTAAATAATTTCCATTCAAACAGCTGTCTTCATTTGTGTCTAAATTTCCGTTATCATAATTTACACCAATAACATTCAGATTATAGGCCTTCTTTTTGTTGTTGTTAATCAAGCCGAATTATTTGTGAATTTTACATCACAGGGGCCATTTTTCAGACAAGCCATATGACTTTTGTTTCTTGAGGTCAACAACTGATGTACTTACGATTATTGCGGAAAGAATCTATCAAGCTTTAGATAAGAATGTTGAAGCTCTGACTGTTGCATCGGAAATCTCGAAAGCATTCGACAAGGTTTGGTATACGGGTCTTCACAAGTTTTAAAGTCTCCAGACCAATTTTCGAACTGATTAAGTCTTTCTTATGAAATCGTCAATTGCAAGTTATCCTAAATAATATATTCTAGATCTTTGTATTAAGGTAGGTGTCACCCAGTTGGCTAAATTGGCTAACTGTCTAACGCTCTGCCTTCGGGCGGAGAGGAACCCGGACGAGGCTCCGCCAAAGGGCAGCGTCTCGTTTGGGATGGTTGACTGCCCCTGAACCCGTTTATGCGGGTTCAAAGAGGGAATATTTTTAGCCGATCCTACGTGCTCGGAGATCCCACGTTAAACTCGGCCTTGTGGCACATGTAACCTTCGTGGGTCGGGGGTAGCTAAATATCACTCAGAGCTCTATCTCTGTTCTCTGTTCTTAAGTTTTATTAACGACATGCCATCAGTTCTAAACTTGGTATCTTCGGTGCTAACACAGCCGTTTGCTCGTATCTCGATAGTAAGCTTGATCATTTCAAAAATTTGGGTGTGTTTTAATATAGTATACATGAGGTAAGTAATTGTGTTAGTAATAATGCTTATTTCCTATATATTTACATAATTAACATTCGAACAGTTGGCCTCATTTTTGTCTGAATTACAAGGATAAGAAGATATCATTATTTACACGCTGACTATTGTCCTCGTCTTTTTAGCTTTCCTTTATCTGGTGTCTGAATATTTACCCTGCCCTTCCTCACTGAGACGGCATGTGACACAAGGCCGTGTTTAACGTGGGGATCCTGAGTGCGTACACTTGGACAAAGAACAAAAATTCCCCGAGACCCCGTTGGTCTCGGTGACCATCGATTCCTCTCTCTAGTGCTATGAGAAGATACAGCCTCAGGCACCTGTTCCCCAGGGCTGGGCACACCACTCTGTAATTTTCCCCAGTTGCGCCTCTGTCCTCCAACGGATCCGCAACTAAGTAGCACCCTGCCCGCGGACAAAGACTTCGTTCTGGGTATGACGATAAACTACATCCGCGTCCTATGTAAGAAGATAAACTATGTCCAGCAGCAAGGCCTCTGATCAGAATGTTTTGAGGAGCGTGGAACTACCTCTTAATTGCTGATGTCTCCAGGTCCACCCTAACGTAGGGTGGTGGCACCTGCCAGGATCACAGCTATGGGTAAATAGTTAACCCATAAACTGGTGTTAAATCACTATGAATGTGTAAAAATATGTTTTAATACTTGGTAAGAAAATTTGAAAAATGAGACCCAAAATATTACCAGCCATTCATTTTTGGAAAAATTATTACAGAAATAAAAATCTTCTCTTCATTAGATAATGCATTGAGGTTGATATGCTGTAAAACTAAACAAACCAAACCAAACGGACAGAGATGCAACTGCGAGGTAAGTATTCATCAGGTGTATGCTGTTCTGGTTACCATAACGGAACCCTATATTTAATCTACAGTAGTAGACTATTCTAGTTCCATAGCCCATGTCCCGGGATATTTCATCTAGTTCTTATTTTTATTCTGCTCAGTTATTGCTCCCCCTGTTTCCACTGAATCCATGTAAAAACTACCTGGCCAATAGATTGAAACCACAGTTACATTGACACAAATTCACAAACTAAAGCTTTAATCAACTAGGATATTGTCTTCGTTGCACAGTTCTCGGTAGAGAATTTGGAGCCATGATAAAGTAGCATAGTGGATGAAGACATTAGCCACATAATTTGGTGCAATATTTTTAGTAGTTCTTAGACTGATAAAATAAATACGAAACTTTACAAATGTTTAGTGAGTAAACTAAAGTAATAAGATCCCTATAATTAAATTTGTCTGGAGATAAAACAAAACAAAAACTCATCGTCAACTAAACCACATTCCATGTTTGTTTTTGTCCTGTAAATTCTGAAAAAAGGCATTTGCTAGAATGAATAAACTCTGTCTATAGTGGACATATATAACCTTGTTTACAATGAAATATATTAGGCATATATCTCTTTCTGTTGGTGATGATATCGGTCAGTATGACCTCTGATTGTGAGATTTTGAGGAGTGCGGAAAGCTCTCTTAATTGCTTTTCTTCCCAGGTCCACCCTGACAAGGGGTGGTAGCACCTGCTAGGGTCCCAGCTATGGGCAAATAGTTAACCTCTAAACTGGGCTGAAGACACTATGAAAGCATAAAAAAAGATTTTTATAATTAAAATACTAGCAATGCATTTGTGAAAAAAATATTACCACAATACATTTTTTGAAAATAAAAAAATACCACCAAAACATTAAAAAAATTACCATCAATACAATTTTTGAAAATAAAAACCACCACAATACATATTTGAAAAAAATATTCCAGCAGTACATTTTTAAAAACGAAATATTATACAACACATATTTGGCAAAAAATACGAGAGATATATATTTAATAAAATATTACCAGCAAAACATTTTTTGAAAATAAAAAATTACCACGAATACATATTTGAAAAAAAAATTTGAAGTGATACATATTTTAAAAAAAAAATATTACCAGCAATACATTTTTTTGAAAATGAAAAATTAACACCAGTACATATAAAAAAAATTACCAGCGATACATCTTTGAAAAAAAAGTACTAGCAATTCATTTTTTGAAAATAAAAATCACCAAAATACATATTTGAAAAAAAATATTACCTGCAATAAATATTTTTGAAAACAAAAAAATTACCACAATACATATTTGACAAAAAAAAAATACCATTGATACATATTTTAAAAAAATATCAATAGCAATGCATTTTTTGAAAATAAAAAAAATACCACAAGTAGATATTTGAAAAAAAGTTACCAGTGATATATATTTTAAAAAATACCAGCAATACATTTTTTGAAAATGAAAAATTAACACCAATACACAAAAAAAAAAAAATTTACCAGCGATACATATTCGAAAAAATCTACCAGCAATTCATTTTTTGAAAATAAAAATTATTTGGCGTGATGGATATTGACTGCTACATTTAGAGTTGGGAGAATATAACTTGTCTGAAGATTTAGTATGGATATAGAGATAGAATTACGAGAGACTGGCAATCTTTCATGTGTGGAAAAAGGGGTTGTAAGCAGGAAAGCTATTCACCAACCACAAGGACGCGTCAATACTTACTAATTTTATCAAGACACACGACCTTGTGAAAATTTAATTGAAACAAAACGAATAATTCCGTTATTTACATTGCTTTCGTATTTTTCCAATGAAACATCACCCAGTGCACATGTTAGTGCTTGGTTTGTCCATTCCACGAAGTCTTTCCTTGCAGACTGACCACAGATTCTCGATTGCATTTAAATCAGGAGAGTTTCCGGGCCAATCTATAGTACTTTGATTAGCTGATTGTTATGGCTTGCCAGTATGTTTGTGTAGCGTCACAATTTTCGTATGCATCCTTGGAGTAACGTCCATTGCAGACAATGGCCGTAGGACAACTAATCGACAGTCGAGACAATAATATCTGGGCGTGATAAAAATCTGATACAATCACGGATGACGCAATATTTTTCAAGGGCAAACAGATTCCATTATACACATCCAAAATAGATTTATATAACTCCAGACCACTGTAAATGATTTAATCAGAGAAAAAATAGAAATCGATTAAAACCTTTCACTCCAGTGGGTCTAAAACTAACTGTATGGCGAAAGAAAGGGAAAATAGCGTGTGAAGCCTAACGGAGTAAAAGTACAGAAATTAACCAAGCATTTACAATTATAAATAAAGTGGTATTTCGACTTTGTATGGTTGACCATATTATAAACAGTTTAAGAATTTAATAGAGCAAAGACAAGCAATTATAGCAACAATTACACGTACTGAAGTATCATGTTTCTCAGATTTAGCCATTGTAAACCTCGTTATGCTTAATGAACCAGAAAACTAATGATATCTTCTTTAAATAAGATGTTGACAAATAACTTGTGTAAAATCATATTACAATCTAATCTAAATAGCATTTCTAAAGGAAATTTTTATACTTCGAATGAACCTGACTTTATAACTGAATTCATATCTTCTTCTATCGCGGATTTATTTTTACGGCAGTCACAGTGGTAACTTCTCGGGTCATTGGTCCTCTTTTGGTGACGTTTCTTTGGAGGGTTGGCGGGATTGCCTTTCGATTAAGGAACGAGCTTTATGTAAACAGAGTGACACTTACAGCTTGTCGTAATGCTGATGGTGTGAGGTAATGCTTTCTCTATTATTGCGGATGGCAGAGGATAGCAAAAAAAAATATTTATGTAAGGTATTTATTTTAGTAAAGATTTATTATATAAATATTTAGAGAATGACTGATTCTCTCCCAATATATAGACACATTCTAATAAATTAAACAATACGGATTTTAGACATTGATATCATGTGATAAAAACTCCACACCACTGCAAATGATTTAATCAGGGAAAAATTAGAAGTCGATTACACCCTTTCCCTCCAGTGGGTCTAAAACTAACTGTATGGCGAAAGAAAGAAAACTAATGCATTTGTTTCAATTAATTTACACAATGGTGTATATCTATTTCTACGAATATTTCCAGCAATAATCTTGATTTGAGATAAACAATTTTATGTATTTCGTTTCGTGTAGCATCTTTTATATTTGGTATATCCATTACTACGAAGGCAAAAAATCTAAAGTAATTCCAGTTTTAATATCTGTCTATATTTCTGTGATGAGGTATTATAATTATTTACGCTATTTACAATGTTTTAAATTTTATTACGTTTGTTAAATGTGTATTTGAAATATTAATTCTAACTGTGACAATTTCCTCGTGTCGGAATAAGATTCTACAATACTTTAAAAATTAAAACAAAACCTAAAATAGATTTTCTTCGATTATTCTGCTCGCTTTTCTCATTCGAATATAAAATTTGATTAATATTCAAAAATCTAAAGTCGTCAGTTCATTTCGAATATTTCAGTTTCTTTAAAAGCGAAAGATCTTTCGTGAATGAAATTAACTCAACGGCTGAAAAAACAAAAAACAAAACAAAACAAAAAACAAAACAAAATACTATAAATTACTGAATTAAAATTATTTTTACTTGAAAAGAAATCTTATTACAGTAAAAATATGAGCGCAATTTTATCAAATTATAAGTGATTTTATGCTAAGCAACAAGTAAAATTTGTTTTATAAACAAATCATTCTTTTTCTTTCATTTTTCCTATCTCTATTTTCTTTCTTTCTCTCTCGCTCTCTCTCTCTCTCTCTATATATATATATATATATATATATACATATGTGTGTGTGTCTCCTCGTATATCACTCACTTTCTCTACCTACTTCATTCATTTCACACACATATATATATATATATATATATATATATATATATATATATTTATATATTTTCAGTCTTCTCATATATCATTCTCTCTCGATTTCAGTCATTTCATATCTAATTCGAGTTCATATCTATCTATCTATCTATCTATCTATCTATCTATCTATCTATCTATATATATATATATATATTTCTGTCTGTTCATATCTATCTCAGTCTGTTCATATCTATCTATCTATCACCTTCTTTTTTATTTCTTCATCTATCTATCTATCTATCTATCTATCTATCTATCTGAAGCAATCATATTCTATTCATGTCTCTCTATCCTTTCGGTGAACCCCCACAAAATGTATTCATTAGAATTGTGTGATTATTTCCTTCTTTTCTATGTTTTCAATATCAAGTATTTTTCACTATCCCAATGCTCTTTTAGTTTTCAGTGTCGTATTTTCCCTTTTCTATTAAAATAATTCCTAAATATTTAAATGTTTACACCTGCTTTTGATTTTGGTGTCTTCAATTCGTAGTTCACACCTTGGACTGCTGCTTGTTCGAGGAAATAAAAAAAACACATTGCACTCTTATAAATACCAATTAGTCCTTTCTGCACGCCTTCATTTACTGCTCTCTGTAAGAATTCCTGTAGTTTCTATTCTGTGTCTGCCATCAAGACTATGTCATCTGTATATCGTATGCTGTTGAGATTGTGGCCACCAGTAATTCATCCTGTTATGACCTCATTCTTTCCCGTGATCCCCTCACTGTAAAATCTGAATAAACCCAGTCAGAAGACACGAGCTCCTCTCTATTTTTGTATATGTATTGAATTCGTTTTCTCTCCACATGCAGGAGGTTTGCTTCCACGATATGTTCTGGATGACTCTAATCTCCTTCTCCAATAAACCAAGTTTACCTAGCATTTCGTATAGTTCTTTAGGAGCTAGTTAATCAGATACCTATGCCTAATCCATAAAACATAGTTATACATTGTTTTTTCACGTATATTTTGTCTTCTGTGAATATATATATCATATTTCTTGTTTGGGCATCTGTACTGGTTCTATTTCGAGTGAAATTCTGCTGCCTGCTCTATTCATCAGTTGTATTGTGTGGCTTGCGTATTAATTCTAACTGTGTATTGCGTTAATTTTCCGATGGAGATCTCATTACTAATAGGCAAATTCCTTGACAATTTGAACGTAGAATACTTTTAGTGTTTTATGGAATTGTCTTGTTCAACCCTATCTTGTGACAGGCATCCGTGATATCAATCGTAATTCTGTTTGTCGAAGGACAATTAATGTTTATATTAACGAATTTTAGCCGTAGGTTTTCGTTTTCAGAATGGTTTCAAAATCTCATGACAAAAAATGTCCCTTGACCCTTTAGGACGTTGGCGGTCATGGTTCTCCCCAATTTCCTGTCCTTTGTAACTCTTAATAATTTTTGTCCTTTTGCCATCTCTCGCAAACCCTACTCCGACATCTAGTCACTCAAGATCGCCAGGTAGGTTATGCGTTGCTTAACTCTGGCCTTCTTAGATTAAATCTGTCCTGTGAGATTTAAAATTTGTTCCTTAGTATGTGTCCCAGAAATTTAAACTCTCTCTTCCTGAATGGCTTAATAAATTAATATGTTCATTCAGGTAAGGCATTTTTGGCTGTGAAAGTGGAAACTACCTTAGAATTAAGATCACAGCTTAGAAGTAAAGAGAAGTAAGCATTGTATAACAAGAAGTAAGCGATATTGTCATTTTTATAGCATGTATTGAAAATCGAAGAACTAATATGAATTATCTTATAAGATGCGCTATATAAAATAGACGACAATCAAATTATCTCAGCTTATCAAAATGCTTTATCAACAGTTTCTCTAAATTCATTTTAGGAGACACGTTGTTATCGCTCTCTTTTTATTTTCCTTTGTTTTTCAGTCTCTGTATGTCTTTATTGCTTTTCCCCACTCTCTTTTAGTTTCTATTTATCTTTATTTTTCTCTTCTTTTAGCCTCTATTTGTCTTTTTTCTCTCTCTCTGTTTTAGTCTCTATTTGTCTTGATTTCTTTTTCTCCCTCTCTTTTAGTCTCTATATGGCCTTATTTTTTCTCTTCTTTTAGTCTCTATTTGTCTTTTCTTTCTCTCTCTCTTTTAGTCTCTATTTGTCTTGATTTCTTTTTCTCCCTCTCTTTTATTCTCTATTTGTCTTTATTTTTCTCTTCTTTTAGTCTCTATTTGTCTTTTCTTTCTCTCTCTCTTTTAGTCTCTATTTGTCTTGATTTCTTTTTCTCCCACTCTTTTAGTCACTATTTGTCTTTATTTTTCTCTCTCTTTTAATCTTTATTTGTCTTGATTTCTTTTTCTCCCTCTCTTTTAGTCTCTATTTGTCTTTATTTTTCTCTCTCTTTTAATCTTTATTTGTCTTGATTTCTTTTTCTCCCTCTCACTTAATCTCTATTTTTCTTTCTTTTTTTTCTCCCTCTCATTTCGTCTCTAATTGTTTTATGTCTCTTTCTCGCTCTCTTTTAGTCTCTATTTGTCTTTATTTATTTTTCTCCTTCTCTTTTAGTCTCTGTATGTCTTTATTTCTTTTTCGCCATTTCTTTTAGCCTCTATTTATCTTTATTTCTATTTTTCTCCCTCTCCTTTAGTCTCTATTTGTCTTCATTTCTTTTTCGCCCTCTCTTTTAATCTCTATTTGACTTGATTTCCTTTTCTCTTTCACTTTTACTCTCTATTTGTCTTGATTTTTTCTCTCTCTTTTAGCTTCTAATTGTTTTATTTCTTTTTGTGTCCCCCTATAAAAAAAATGTACGAAGTTCAGTGGAGCAAAAGAAAACGAATTAATTCGTGCAGCCTTGGATATCATTTCCAATTTAAAATAAAGTGGAATTTCGACTTGAAATGATTAACTGTAACATAAGAAGCCAAAATGGCGGAAAATATATTCAATTTTACAATTGCGTAACAAAAATATTACGTTGTCTTGCATTTGTTTTGTTTGTATTGAATATTTCACTATTTTAAACTAAACGGGTAACTTACATTTTGCATTCGTATAATAACAGAGATTTATTTATTAAATTTAACATAATATAAAATCATATTTCTGTAATTGTTTCAAGATGTGTTAAAAACATGAATATGAATTAACATCACCAACAAGGATGCTATTTAGAGGTGGTCAGATCGCTTATCTCTGTGGAGTGGATTTCAGTCTGTGTGCGGGGGTTTCGACAACGTCAGATGGGAGCCACTATTTCCCCCCACCCCGACAGAATGTATTGTTTCCCCCACTGCCCTTAAAATTTTCCCTTATTAAATAATTTGTCGCAGCTTTATATAAGGAGTCTACAGCCTTCAATTACATTCAAGCCTTCTTCCCTAAGCTGTCTGCAGCAAAAGCCAAAGCCGGTGACTTCGTCTGGATTAAAAATAAACGGGATCATACCATGCAAATAATTCTGCAAGAATCTTACTTGGACGGGGAATGCAGCAGGGAACAACTTAATTGCAGTGGTTTCACTCTTCTAGAAGAATCACAAGGCCGAAAAATATGTTAAGCTTGTTGCAACTCTGGTGAAGAACTACGGTAAAATAGGCTGCAGGATGTCCCTTAAATTATATATCCTCGACACTCTGACAAATTCAAGGAGAACCTAGGGTCGTACTCAGAGGAGCAAGACGACCTCTTCAACCCACGATAGACTGGACTTTGAACGACGCTACCAAGGAACGTATCACGAAAACATGATGGGAGACTAGATTTGGAGGCTGATTCGTGAAAGTAATGTTCAGTATTATCGAAAATTGCTAAAAATTAGTCATTTCTTTTTTTGAGGTCTTTTTTGTGAATTCCTAGAATAAATAGATACTACTTTTGTTGTTCAGTGTTACCAACACACGGGAAGTAGTATACACTCAACTGTCTCTTGTGTAATAGCTGTAGCTATTTATAGTCTTTGAAAATCCATGTGTAAATGCGTCACAACATTTCCCTGTATCGAAAAGGGTTCATCTCGTTATTGCCCCTGGTACTTCTCGGATATTTTGTTAAATAAGATGAGATTAATTAACACGATAATCCTTCCTAAATCTCGTATTCGCAAACATCTCGCAGTGGGAAAAACAGTCTACATAAAACAGCTGGCACCCAGTATTGATCTCATCCTATTACAACACATAATAAAAACCAAAGAAGTGGTTAAAAGCACTTGTGGGGGGGGACAGATTCTCGGGACAATTTTCCCGCTCCGTTATCTTATTTAAGAATACTAGAAAAACTCAATGAAAAATTCACCAATGTTACTGCCGAAATATATATATATACATATAAAGTGGACAAAGTCCGACAATTATTTTAAGAAATTTTTATGTTTATACATTTTTTTTATAGATACAAATATTCAATTGTTTATAATAAACAGTATTAATAACATTTACCGGCCTGAATGTCCCGGAAATTGTCATAGAATATATGCGTCCTCCGACAGGAATCGAACCTGCATCCTATACGGAACCGTCATATAGCTTGACATGCTTTTACCGATTTCGCCACAGAGGAGCGTTTCGGTTAGCAAGGTCGATTTTACTGTTTTTAAACTACAATTTCCCATGATTTTCTCACGTACATTCATATCTGCTCGATGCGTATCCAAATGTAAAACACTGACGTCACACATTATGAAATGGACAAAGTCCGACAATTATTTTAAGATATTTTTTATGTTTATATATTCTTTTTATAGGTACAAATATATAAATAAAAGCTTTGTTTATAATAAACAGTATTAACAACATTTACTGGCCTGAATGTCCGAGAAATTGTCATAGAAAAAGGAATCGAACCTGTATCCTATACAGAACTGATATATAGCCTGACGGACTTTTACCGATTTCGCCACAGAGGAGCATTTCGGTTAACAAGGTCGATTTCATTGTTTGTAAACTACAATTTTCCATGATTTTCTCGATGCGTATCCAAATGTAAACAAATGACGTCACACATTATGAAATGGACAAAGTCCGACAATTATTTTAGGACATAGAAAGCATATTCTCTATGACACTTTATCGGACATTCAGGCCGGTAAATGTTGTTAATACAGTTTATTATAAACAGAGCATTTACTTACATATTTGCATCTATAAAAAAGAATGTATAAACATAAAAAAGTCTTAAAATAATATATATATATATATATATATGTGTGTGTGTGTGTGTGTATATGTGTGTGTGTATATATGTATATGTGTGTATATATATATATATATATATATATATATATATATATATATATATATATATATATAAATTAAAATGAGTAACAAGGTACTACGGTTAGGTTTCTTATTTCATTTTTCACGAACGAAACTTGAAAATTGCGATTTTGGCTTGAGAACCGACGCCAAAGCAAATAAGCAGTAGTATTTTAATCAGCATGGCCGAGTTGTTATTTTTGCATCGCATGTCATAAAAATGATTTTTGAATGTCAAAAGAAAAAGACAGTTGTCATCACGACATGAGAAACAAATGCCAACAGAAAAAAAAAACAGAGTTTCAACCACATAAGACCTTGCTTTGGTTCGTCAAATCCTCATCACTGTAGAGAATTCGTTATTCTCCAGCAAGATAATGCAATGAAACTTTCTACCAAATAAGCCCAAGAAAAATAGCAGTGTATAAATTGGGGTTTCGATCACATCCTCAATACTCTCCATATTTAGCACATACCAATTTGAATTTGTACCGATCAGGGGAGCATAAATGGTAGAACATGCTTCCCCGAGTCTTTGTGGGTGGCAACATATTTTCCGTCCTCTCACCTCTTCTCACAGGCGGTTTTTGGCAAGCCTCTCGCTGTTCCATCGTTACTTTTGTGGAAAGTGCTCAAACGAACTATATTCATTGATTCTGTCAGGCCTACCCTTCATGTCAAGGAACTTCCATCCCCTTACATTGTTACAAATCATCCGCATTCCCTCCGTATTCCATCGATGAGAAGTAAGTTCTACTTGAACAACTTACTCCTGTGAACAACTGCGCTGTGGAGCTGACATTCGAGACGATCTTTCCCCGATGCCTACAAAACTTGTTCATGTTTAGGGTTATTGTACAGGGTGAACCTTACTGTAAAATAAATAAATAAATATGTGAAAAACAAAGAAATCGTAAATTAGTTTGGTTTAGTTTGTTTTGATTTACGACATATCAAACTCAATGGATTATTTAACGTCAACAAAAAATTTTATTGCTGGTAATAATTTTTTTTCCAAAAAATATATTGCTGGTAATTTTTTTGAAATGTATTGCTGGTAATAATTTGTTACAAACTATTTCTGGTATTAAAATTGATGAAGGAATACTTAGATGAGAAGTACCTGACCTCAACCCCATAGACAACTTATGGATCATTATAAAGTACAGGCTCTCGAGAAAGCAGTTGAGCAACAAAGAGGATTTGATTGTGAATTTCATATCCGAATGGAATTCAATGCTTGGAGATGAGATTTGCCAGAACCTTATCAAGTCAATGCCAAAAAGGGTTGAAAAGGTTATTCAAAATAAAGGAGGACCCATAGATTATTAAATATTTCGAACTATATTACCTATTATAAATAAATTATACCTCTATTATTCTTTATTTAAAGCTGTTCGGTTATATTTCTATTGATTACTAGTTGCAGGAAATAAGTGAGTCATTTTTTTTGCACAGAGTTTTTCCCTAAATCTCATTTATATCCAAAATTATAATATATATATAAATATATATACTATCTATATTTCTCATGTTGTCTGTCTGTGTGTCTGTCGTGGGCGTTGTTACCTCCTTGAGCCGCATTCTCACCCGATTTCGATGCGGTTTTCAACACAAGTTTGCAAATGGCTGCCGTAAGGACATGACGTAGCCCGATTTTTGAGTTCGGAAACAGGTTCCGAAAAAATCGATAATCAAAAAAATCGATAATCGAAAAAATCGATAATCGAAAAAATTCTGCTTACAGAAGGAATGATCGCATTTCAACCAAATTTGACAGCCTCTTAGAGTCTACCATTAGAAGTGTTGTCCAGAAGTTTCATGACCACGGACCCCTAATCAGCGCGGAATATCGATAAAACCCAAAAACCGATACGCCCAGATTACGTCTGAACCGCATGTCGGTTTTTAGCGAAAACCGAGCGGATTTATGAAGAGGCCATTGGGAGTCATCATGTGAAGTTTCAACTCTGAGCACCCCACCAAACAGAGTGCAAATCGACAATCAGTCAACCCTTAAAAATGTTTTTTCCGGTTTTTTTAAAGCTAATCGTATTGTGTTTATTTTGTTTAGTTCTTTTTTCGTAACAGATTTAATGTTTACTATAGAGCTTAGAAAAAGTTGGCAGTGTGATATAGGCAAGAAGTAAGGCATGTAACAACATCAGCACGGTAAAGGGCACTCCTCTAAAGGCAAGGAAGGGCAAAAATATTTTAAGTCAAGTGATAGCGATTGCTGTATTGGTCGTACTATTTTTGAATCAAGCACCGACAACGCCGGGCCATGCTGCTAGTTATCAATAGAATACGTTAGGGTGAGTAACTTTTTTACTAGGTGGTCGGGAAGGAGTCTTTATATTAGTAAGATTAAAAATTATTTTGACCCCAGAAACAATAGGCGAAAAAATTTTAAGTAAAAAAAAATCAGGCGA